AACTTTCCTTCCTGGAATCATTTCATGCATCGTTTCTTCCCAGAGGGACTCAATGGAGGTCCGAGTGAACACCATGAGAAGGCCATTAATGATGCCGTCACACACTTAAGGCACCCATGAAGAGATGCCAAAAGCAGAGGCTGTTTCCTTTGGGTCTGATCCATAAACCTGGCCATAGCCGTGAGTGACTCTCTCACCAACCCAGACAAAAGCCACAGGCCCCACCCACACAAAAGAATCCACCTGGCCACTGTGTTCCACGCTGTTAAACCTGCCTTGCCCCCAGCTCAGGTCTGCACAGCTTGGGAGACAAGATGGCAATGATGAGAAAGACAGGGCAAAAGAGCTCATGTCCCCAGCTGGGTGGAGAAAAAAGCTGATCATAATCGTCAGAGCACTGAAGGCTTCCTCTATGTGGCTGATGGTGGCAATCCCTTCCCTCACCCCACAGGGCTACCCTGGAGACAGGCGTGAAGGCAGAATACAGAAGCAGGTCTGTCTTCAACCTACAGTGGGAAGGACTCAGGGTTGCAAAGAAGAATTCCCAGGATGAATGGATCAAAGGCAAGTAATGATGAAGTCTTGAAGTATTTCCTCTCTTAGTAACCCTTTTGTGAACATGCTAGACACCACCCCCCCCACACACACACACAGAGTCAAGCACAGATTAATTGCCAGAGACAGGAGACCAGACACAACGACCTCAAGCCAACCATCCCCTTCCCTTGCCTGTTGCAAGATCCACCTTAGAGCATGGTAATCCTTTGGGCCTGCACCTGTACTTCAATGTGGGGCCATTTGTCCCTTTACACACAGTGGGCAAAGTGTCCACAGCCCACAAGTTCATCCAGATCATGAGAATAATTGAAATCGGATATAACAATGGTTAGTTCCCAAATACAGAAAGAAACCTGCATAACTGAAATCAACAAATGCTTCATTCAACGTTTATGCAATATAACCTTATTAATATGAGTCAAATGCAACTCAAATCTTAGATTTTTGTTGTTGTTGTTGTTAGTTGCCATTGAGTTGACTCCAGCTCATGGTGACCCCACCACGTGTTCCATAAAGTATTTTTCAAGACTTTGTCTGTACAGGAGCAGCTCACCAGGCCTTTCTTTCAAGGTGCCCCTGGATGGGTCTGAATCGCCAGCCTTTCGGTTAGTAGTCAAGTGCTTGACCGTTTGCACTGCCCGGGGACTCCTCTCAGAGTTAGACGCAAACCAGACTTATTGTGAGAGAGGGAGCATTTTAATACGCTTGCTATGATGCGAGGAGGAGCCCTCAGAAGGAAGAGAATTCAGAGCCTACAAACGCCTTTAAAGGGCCTTGCTTATCTGCTTTCCCCGAACCCAAGCCCATTTTCCTATTTACTTGCTCACATTCCTTCCTCTCTCTGCTGGGCTAGCCAACCTGGCTCCCGCTTTTCTCCTCTGTTCCTCTCTTCCCTCACCCCCTTCCCCTCGGTCTCTCAATTTCTCCTGTTTCACCCTGGCTGCCACTGTCCGTCAGCACTAAAGCAGATGCCCTGGGAGGAATCTCTCACCAGCCTGGACAAGCGGTGAGGCTCTTCCTCCACCCTCAGGAGGAATGTCCGCAGCTGGCCCCACCCAGGGCCAGCTGAGCTGTGTGCCCTGCTCTGCGCGGTCCAGCTGGGCAGCCAGGGACTGACCCTGGCCTGCCTGGGCCTGCGTGGGTGGAACCTTAAATCTTTGAGTCAGAAACCGGGAGGCAGTATCACACAGCCGTTAAGAGCACCACCGGCTTTGGAACCCAGCAGGCCTAGATGAAACTCCTGCATCTGCTGGGTGACTTTGAACAAATTACTTTGACTCTTACTTCAGTCTTTGAGTCTTAACTTCCTCGTATATAAAATTATACCCATAATTATGAAAATTGGATATAAGTTACTACACCAAAATTACTATACCCATAATAATAGCCTTCCACAGAGGGCACCGCGAGGGTAGTCATGGGGACTGAGATGGGATAATCAATGTGAAGGTTTCCTTTTACACAAAAATAATAACAGCAAACCCTTCTGGGCAGTTACAGCATTCCAGGTAAAGTTCACTTTGACAGGTATTGTCTCAATTAATTCTCACAACTCTGTGACAGAGGTCTTATCTGTCATCTCTGTGCTTTTGATGAAAAAATGACAGCCTTCAAGCTTTAAAGAACTTAGCCTGCAGCACATGGATCAACAGTGGAAGAGCTGAGATTCTAACACCAGTGGTTGTAACCCTAATCCTAGACATGTTGTTGTTGTTGTTGTGTTGTTAGCTGCTGTCATGTCAGCCCCCATGGCGATCCCATGCACAACAGAAGAAAACTCTGCCTGGCCCTGCACCAGCCTCACAATCAGCTGCCCATCAGACCCCTGTGATCCACAGGGTTTGCACTGGCTCTTTTTCAGAAGTAGATTGCTAAGCCTTTCTTCCTAGTCCATTGTGGTAGTTATGTTTGTGTGTCAACTTGGCTGGGACTGGTTGAGTGGCTGGGCAGCTGGTGGTAGTTATTCCCCATGATGAGACTGGCAATCAACTCCATGGTGGAATCTACCACAAGCAGCTGAGTAGCTGCCTTTGGGTATGTGGTCTGCTTCCCATATATAAGAAGTAGCTTTGGGAATGGTTTCCAGCCTATGGCATGCTTGGACCCTGCATGTAGCCGTGTCTTTGTTCAGCAGCCTGCCATGCTCTGCTGACCTTGGGACTTACAATGGACTTGAATTAATGGTCTGCCGTGTGGTTTGGTAACATCGGGACTGTGCCTTTTTACTTGTCAACCTTGAGGCTTCTCAGCCTCAGCAGCCAGCAGCCGTCTGAGTGAAGAAACGCCTCTAGCTTCAGTGGGCCGGGAGCAGGAAGCAGAGCTAGACCCCGAGGTTGAGGGGCTTTCACCCAGCCCCTAGAGCCTGGCACTTTGAACTTGGACTTAAAGCCTCCAAATTGTAAGAATAAACTCCTTTTGTTGAGACCATCCCATCTGTGGTATATTCTTGTCAGAGTGGCACTAGGGAACCAGGACAACGTCTGAATCTGGAAGCTCAGCAAAACCTTGTTCAGCATCAGAGCAACACACAAGCCTCCCCTGACAATGGGTGCGGTCTGTGCACAAGGTGCAGGGGCCAGAAATCGAACCCTTGTCTCCCACATGTTGTTGTTAGGTGCCATCGAGTCGTCTCCAACTCACAGCGACCCTATGCACAGCAGAATGAAACAGTGCCCGGTCCTATGCCAGCCTCGCGATCCTTGTTATCCCTGAGCCCATCTTTGCAGCCACTGTGTCAATCCATTTCATCGAGGGCCTTCTCCTTCTTTGTTGACCGTCCACTTCACCAAGCATGATATCCTTCTCCAGGGAATGGTTCCTTCTGACAACATGACCAAAGTAGGTGAGACGAAGTCTGGCCATTCTTGCTTCCAAGGAGCATTCCAGCTGTACTTCTTCCAGGACACATTTGTTAGCTTTTCTGGCAGTCCATGGTACTCTTAGCATTCTTCTCCAACACCACAACTCAAAAGCATCAACTCTTCTTCGGTCTTCCTTATTCATTGTCCAGCTCTCACATGCATTAAGAGGTGATTGAAAATACCATAGCTTGGGTTAGGTGCACCTTAGTCTTCAAGGAGACATCTTTGCTCTTTGTCACATGGAAGAGATCTTTTGCAGCAGATTTGGCCAATGCAATATGTCGTCTCATATCTTGACTGCTGCTTCCATTGGTGTTGACTGTAGAACCAAGTGATATGAAGTCCTTGACAACTTCAATCTTTCTCCATCCACTGTGAAGCTATTTATTGGACCAGTTGTGAGGATTTTTCTTTTCTTTGTACTGAGATGTAATCCATACTGCAGACCATAGTCTTTAATCTTCATCAGTAAGCGCTTCATGTCATCCTCACTTTCAGCAAGCAAAGTTGTGTCATCTACGTGTCGCAGGTTGTTAATGAGTCTTCCTCCAATCCTGATCACACGTTCTTCTTCATATAATCCAGCTTCTTGGATTATTTGCTCAGCATACAAATTGAATGAGTATGGTGAAAGGAACCATCCCACATGGAAGGAAAGAATTATCTCATGGAACCATCAATGTCCTCAGCTTTATAAATAATTCCCTAGTGGGTAAACCAGCCAAAAGCTGAGCTAAGAATCAGACAGCTTAGATGGGAAAAAGGCTCCACTTCTACTGAAGTGCAAGGTTTTGAGCCTCTGGTGGTCTCTCAGCCTATATCCCCGTGTGTTAGTGAAAAGGACAATGCTCATTCAGCCATCCCCACAAGATTGCAGCAAGCTCAAGTCAGATTCCAGACATGAAAGTGCTGCGTGGACCAACAAACACTCAATAACCATGTGATGATGAGACTTATCTGACCCCGGCCAGCTAAGTGGCTTTCCAAACACTACTTGAATACTTCCAGGGACAGAGAGCTCACTGCTTCCTTTAGCAGCTCATTCAGGTTAGCAAGTTCTTCCCTTTGCAAAGCCCAAAAATAATCTGTCTATAACTCCTTCCCACTGGCCCTAGTCAGGCCCTCCAATGCCTTGCCAACTGGGGAAAAAAAATTACTGCAGCATCCCACACTGGCTGCTAAAGACCCCCAAGGCTTGTGTCTTTGCTTCTGGCATCCTGCCCTGGGCTTCCTAGTCACAAACAGGCAGATGACAATAATAACATGCTTGGTTTGTACTAGTTCCACTCCTAAAGCTGTCATTACCTGTCCCTGCTTATCAGACTCCCAAGCCATTACATGGTCCAGATCAAGGAGAGAGGTTGAGGGACTGGAGTCACTGCTGGCATGCAAGGCGCCCCAATTTCTCCCACTTTCTGATATCTTTGCTCTTTGCAAACACATTAGGTGACCCTCCTGGTGCTGCCACCTCTACCTGGCACGTGGGCTCCAGGGTGAGGATCACTCAAACCTTGGGCCTCTTCCCTTCTTGACCCTGGACCTCCCTGCCCCAGCAATCCCCAGCCATTCTTGTGCCCGTACCTTAAAAGACTCCAGAAAGCCTCCATGGCCCCCATTCTCAAACTTGTCCTCTTCTGGGCCCAGTCCTAGCATGGCCTGTGTATGGGCATGAAGTTCATCATGAAGGTTGTCCAGGAGGGCTGCTCTCGTCCGGTCCTAGAAGGGAAGAGGATAGGGAGTTGAATGGATAGTAACTGTATCCAGCAAAGGCGTGGACCTACAGCCAGGCTGGGCTCCACACTCATAAATGCTGCAGTTAACACTAATAATACTCCACGACTGGCTTCCTGCTCTCTTCCCTCTACCCCTCCTCCCTGGACCATCTCCCCACACCCTCAGCTCTCTCCACCACCTCTACCCTGCTGATTCCCAGCCTAGATCTCTGTCAAAGCCCCACATCCATGTACCCAACGACCCACAGGTCCTCTCCATCCAGATGTTCCTCCTGGGCCATTCACACAGCCTCCAGAGGGCACCATTCACACAGACCAGGACCAGTCCCTTCAGCAACCCAGCATTTGTAGGCACCTCCAGATCCACCAGCCACTCCTTGGAAGGAAGGTTGGGCATTCCTACTTCCATAGTGATACTGCTTCGGAAACCCAAGGAGGGGAAACCCAAGGAGGGGTCACTATGAGTTGGGGCCGACTCAATGGCAAGTAACAACAACAACAACCAGATCCACAGGTCCTAAAGAGAACTTGTCTCCCCCATATCAGTGAAGAGCCCAGGACACAGAACTAAAGAGTTGCCCTACAATTCTACTTCCCCAATCTTACCCGAGGGTCCATCAAGTCTCACCAACTCTGATTCTAAACCATTTCCTCCCATGCTCTAAGCTTTATCATCTCTCTTGGACTCCTGAAATAGCTTCTAACTGGTCTCCCTTCCTCCAGCACCTCTCCTTCAACTCATCCTCCCCACCACCATCAGAGTAATCCTAGCATGCGAATCAAACATCAAATCAAATTTAATCAAAATTTTATTAGGATGCCAACACTTCTGGCCTGGCCCTCAGAGCCCTTCTTGACCTGACCCCAACCAGCTTCTCCATCTGAGAGTCTCACCATTCTATCTCCCACATGAATCCTTTCTCAGGCCACACCAAACTGTCTGAAGCTCCCTCCAGATGTCATGTTCTCTTCTGTCAGGCTTTTGCTCATAGTGTTTCCCATGCCTGAAATAACCCTACCCACTCTTTCCTCCTGGCAAAAAGCTCATCAAATATCAACATTCAGCACCTTAAGGGCCACTTCCTCTAAGAAGCCTTCCCTGAACATGTCCTCAATTTCCCACAGGCTGAAGCACTAACTACAATCTCTGAGCGACAGCCCTAGTATTGGCCTCTATCAGGCCCCTGGCACATATATTGCAATTGTTCTTTATTAATGTCCCCTACATCACCCCACACCAGCCTGTGAGATCTAAAAGGGCAGGGACTATGTCTTGCTTATCGATGCATCCCAGATTGGTACACAGCAGATGCTCAATAAACAACTGGTGAATGGTTGACTAGACCTGAAGTTGGATGGAGTTGCCACAAGAAGAAATGGTTGTCATACCAACATAGGGCTGAGGGCTTAGAGAGGCAAAGACAGTGCTCCCTGCCTTGAGCAGCCCCCAAGAACAGACCCCCAAGAGAGGCTGGCTAAGAGGCAATGAGAAGGCAGGGGAAGGCCTTCAGAAACCATGCTCTCACCTCCAGCTTTGCAAACTTGTCCGATTTGCAGCAAGCATTCTCTGCGTTGGTGAGTTTGGTGAGCAGAAACTCCCTGAACTCTGGACCCTGGAACAGATAAGATGCCCTAGGAATTCTCCCACCTTTAGCTGCTGCCAAAAAGGCTCCAGCCTCAGTTACAGGTAGGCAGAAGAGTGGGGAGAAGAGCCCCAGAAAGTTCCCCTTTCTGACATCTGATCAGAAATAGCCCACCTGCTAATATGCCATCATGGAAACCAGCTTCCCTGGTCCTGGGAAATCAACCCTCCACACCCACCAGATATGTCTATGTCTGAACCTTGCCCAAGGTTCCTGGGAATGGAATGTGGTATATATTTAAAAACAAAACAAAACAAAAAACAGCTTCTTATACCAGAAAGGCACTCCCCAACCCAATGGGGCCAAACTGGCCACCTGAAGAGAGATGGGGAGAAGGCCCAGGTAAGGAGATTTCCCCTAACCCCGCAAAAGGGCCTCCCTGATATTCCCGGCTCAAATACCTCTCCACTCCAGCAACTGCTGCTAAGGAATTAAAAGCCGACTCTCACTCCAATTGCCATCAATTAGATTCTGACTCATGGCAACCCCACGTGTATCAGAGTAGAATTGTGCTCCGTGGGGTTTTTAATGGCTGATTTTTCGGAAAGTAGAATGCCAGGCCAGGCCTTTCTCCAGGAGCTCTGGTGGCGTAGTGCCTAAGGCACTTGACTGCTAACCAGAAGGCTGGTGGTTCAAACCCACCCACCACTCCTTGGAAGGAAGATGGGGCAAACTACTTCTGTAGAGATACTGCCTCGGAAACCCACGAAGGGGTCGCTATGAGTCGGGTCCGACTCGACAGCAGTGAGTTTTCAAGTTAGGCCTTTCTCTCGAGGTACCCTGGGTGGAATCAAACCCCCAACCTTTCGGTTAGCAGTCAAGCACGTTAATCATTTGCACCACCCAGGGCCTTCACCGAAATCTAGGGCCTCAGAAACGAGAGGAGCGGAAAAAAGAATTTCTTACCTTCTGGAAAACAGGGGGACTGGGCAGAGGGGGCCCGAAGGCTGGCACATCTTCCCGTGCAGTGACGGAGACCTGAAACACAGAATGGAAGTGTGGGGCCCGAGGGAAGAGATCAGAGGTGCTGGTGACAACATGTTCTGTACCCTACTCACACAGAAGCCACATTCCCACAACAAAGAGACTCACCGTCCCCCTCCTCCTCTTCCCAGAATGCACTGTCCAGAGTATACAAATAAAACAATTCCCGAGAGCCACTGCCAAAACGGGCATTTCCAGTCACCATTCCTAGAAGTGGGGCTGGGCTGGGCTGCACCAGCTATATTCTCTCATCTGCATTCCTGGAGGCCAGAGCAAGTGTTTGCGGGATGACTGCACAGGGTTGAGGAGCTGCCTAGGATCCTAACTATAACACAGCACAAGTGCCCAGGAGCTGTTATCGCCTCATTCCATTGTGATGTTAATCCTTAGGGAAGGTGCAATGAGAATTGCTACCCGTTTTATTGATGGAGGAGCCCTAGTGGCGCAGTGGGTAAGTGCTCCGCTGCTACCGGAAAGGTCAGCAGTTGAAACCCATCAGCCACTCCATGGGAGAAAGAAGTGGCCGTCAGCTTCCATAAAGATTTATAGCCTTGGAAACCCTATGGGACAGTTCTACTCTGCCCTACAGGGTGGCAATGACATTGACTCGAAGGCAGTGGGTTTGCTTTTTTTGGATTTTGGTTTTACAAAAATAGATGCCCAGAGCCATGGAGCGATGCCCCCAGAGTCACAGAGCTGATCAGCCAAAGAGATGAATAGAGAATTCAAACCTCTCCCAACCTGGCTCTGGGATTCTTTTCCCCTAACAGTGACCCCCCCCCCACCAACCCTAGCCATATATCAGAATCACTCTGAGTGTTTAAAAAATAAATACCAATAGCAGGGGTTCCCCCCACCCCCAACAACAACAAAACAAACCGTATGAATCAGAAGCTCTAGGGCAGAGACAGGAACCCACCTCCATTCTAAGCCCTGAGAGCTTGTGTGCAGGCAGTGGACTGTGTTTGTACACAGGGTCTGCCAGTCTGGGTGAGGCTTAGACAGAGTTCACAGGCTGGGGCAGGAGTGGGGCATTAAGGTGCTCTGCACGGGGGTCTCCCAGGCTCAGGATGGGGCGTGCACGTCCAGCCAGCCTGGGTAAAACATGAACTAATGGAACGAGAGCAGCAGGTACCCAGCATGGTGGTCTCAGCCTTGAGATGGCCCCACACCTCCTCCTCCTCTTTTGCACAGGGGTGCCCTGGTTTCACCTGCTCTTACCTCACGAGACTGCAGAGCTCTCCAGATACTGCCCTTTCCCTGTCCCCACGGCCGATGATGTGAGCTCAGCCTGGCACACTGCCAGCCTGCCTGGCCTGTGAAGTAGGGCAGATGCAGGGAGTCTGCCAGACTGGCTGAGCTGGCAGCATGGAGCCATGCCAAGGAAAGGCCCTGCAAGGGTCTGGAGGAGAGGGAGTAGAGTAGAGGTAGGCACTAGGCTTTCTTCCCCTAAGTTCAAGGCTGTCTACATGGCCTGAATTGCAGTGCTGAGAGTCAGGAAATGGTGTGTTGAGCTGCTGTGATTTCTGAGTGGGTTCCAGCTGCTAAACACAGTCCCCTGCTGCACCCCGCCCAACGTGCACGCATGGCACCAGTCAAGAACTCCACCCACAGGGCAGATTTGGGGACGGGGTGGTGGGGAGGCATTGGGAGGATAGAGAAAGGCCAGGCCCAGTTTTCAGCGTTTCCCAACTCGCCCTGACCTGGCCTCCCCCTCCTTCACACATTAGCCTAGTGTGGTCTGTGCTGCCTGGATAAATGGCTTCAGACACACTCTTAAATTCGTGCTAAGCTGACAAGCAGACAACCAGGCCATGGCAGTCGTGTCAGAGAAGCCAGGCAGCAGGATCGTTCACTGGGTGAGCCATTCATCTTCTATCCCCACTCTGGTCCTCTCCTGACCCCCTCCTTCTGGAGGCCAGGCCTTTGTGTCCCCTTCTCTCGGACGTTTGGGTTGCCTGGCTGAAAGCAGAAGTGGCCTGAACACAACATCACCTTCCTGTTTTCTAAATTCAGTGAGGGGATTGGATTAGACCCTGCTGGCCGAGGCAGGAGAGCAGGTTTAGAGGGAGAGAGAGGCTAGAGGGGGTGACTCTGGGGAAGGGAATCTCCCAAGCCAGAAAGCAGAAGGAGCCTGGAAGGCTGCGAGTCATGAGGACACACAAAGGAGGACCAAGAGCACCTCAGAGGGCTCCACACTCGACAGAGCCCCATGCCCAAGTGTGGCCTGCGAGCCTGCCTCAGAGACCAGAGAAAGAAACACATCAGTAGTGATGGGTAAGGGGGAGGGGCACAGACAGAGCCCTGCCCACCCCACGGACCACTCTGTGTAAGATTCCTGAGACCTTTTCAAGACTTCACAAGTGGAAGGGGGTGTCCCCCAGGGAGGGCAGGGAGGAATCCTAGTGACAGCTGAGGTGGAATTTCCTTCCAATCCTTCCAACCTGGCAGGATGGGGACTAAATTCACTTCCAAAAAATAATATGGTATGACATTTCTTGCACACCTAAGTTTGTGGAGCCAAATTCCCACCCGCTACTAGCTCTGGTGGTGGTGCAGTGCCTAAGGCAACTGACTACTAACCAGAAGGTTGACAGTTCAAACCCATCAGCCACTCAGCAGAAAGAAGACAGGGCAATCTACTTCCCCAAAGATTTACCTCCTTGGAAAGCCAATAGGGGTCAGTATCAGGCAGAATTGACTCGATGGCAGTGGGTTTTGGACTACAGCTCAACGATGAAGATCCCGGGTGGACCTAGACGGGAACTTGAGTTCCACCACTGCCTGGCTCTGTGGTCTTGAGTAACCTTAAGTCCTTAAGTGGCATAAGCTCCTCACTCTTAATTCCCCCTATAAAATAGGGCCAATAAGAGGCCCTGCCTCACCAAGTGGTTGTTAGGACTAAAGAAGACCATGCCTCTAAGGACTTAAGGAGCGAGCACCCAGGAAGTAGTAACCATCATCACCCTGGGCGTTTTTTTCACTTTCTCTGTTGACCTGTGCCTAATAAAGGGCACACTTCCCCCAAACCACTTCCTAACCCACTCTCCAACCCCCACACACTCCTTCCTCAACTGCTCTTCTTCCCCTCACAGAGAATGTCAGGACTGGTCAGAGGTCGTCTAGTCCAACTTCCTCATTTTGCACAGGCAGAAACAAGAGGCCCAGAGAGGGAAGAAACTGGCCTAAGGTCACACAGCCAGTCAGGGGTAGGGCCAGGACCCGGAGTCTGGGCTCCCAAGCCTTTCCATCTTGGGCCCTTTCTCACACATTTTCCCTTTTCAGCCCTTCCCTCCCCTCTCTCATTTCCTGTTGTTGGTGCTCCCCGTGGAGGCTTCCTGGAGCATTGCTCAGGCCCTGAGGAAGTATTCCTCTCCTCTCCTCTCCTCTGCCACAGACTCTAAGCCGGCCAGGGTCAGCCCAGGTCCCATCTCACTCTGGACCCCCTGAGGAACTTAAGCAGGTTCTCCTCCAATCTGGGGGTGTGGGTGGACAGCACTCTGTCTGTCTCTCCAACCCTCATTCACACTTCTCGCCTGCCAGGCAAACACCTTCCAGCCTCTGTATTTGCCTGGCAGGTGGATCAGAAGGCCTCCTGTCCGGAACTCGGCCCTGCTCCTCCCTGAGGCCCTACTTCTCTGCTTCTCACCACCTCTCTGAGGATGATGCCTTTCCCTGGACCACGGACAATGCTTGGAAGATTTTGTACAGGCTTCTCTGCTCAAAGTTGGAGTGAGGTGATGCTTTATCTGGATCTCTGAGTTTCTGTGGATGGGCACACCACTCCACTAAGCTCTTGGGAGAGTGGAGAAGCCAGTTAGCTGAGGTCCATTTCCTATTAGGAACTAAATGCAAATACGAAACGTCTGCCGGAGGCCTCTCCCTGCCAGCAGAGGCCCAGCAGACAAGCCACACACAGACGACTGACGGGAAGGGTCTGGGAGCCCTCCGAACACACAGCTTTATTTCAGGGATCTCTCTCAGTAGCTCTTCTACTTCTACCAAAAAAAACAGAAACCAACTCTGTTGCTGTTGAGTTGATTCTGACTGAAGATGACCCCACGTGTGCAGAGGAGAATGGCTTCATAGGGTTTCCAACGGCTGTGACCTTGGAAGCGGACTGTTAGACCTTTCCCCTGAGGTATCCCTGGGTTCGTTCAAACTGCCAACCTTCCAGTCAGCAGTCAAGCGCCTGACTGTCTGTGCCACCCGGGGACACCTCCTCTGCCTCTCCTGGCTGTGAAAAGAACAAACCAGTTGGCTGTTTAAGCTGCCCAGTGCCTAAACTGTACTCATAGGGCCTTCTGTCCCTTCTCAGGGTCAGGAACGCCCTGAAGGCTAGTTCTGTTCATCACTTACTCGAGCCTCACCTCTAGCACAGTGTCTGGCACTTGGCAGGTGCTCAATGAGTAAAAGCCCTTCCAGCAACAATTTAATCCAACTGCTTAAGCTGGAATGCCCACTTTGAGTGAAACTGATACTTCATGAAGATGGCCACGGGTTTATGAACCCTAGTTGAAGCTGCGTGAGCTAAAGTTTTGACACAGGAGACATATCCAGGTTTCACTGTTTCCCATAAGCAATGACAGGCTCATTTTTTCTCTCCCACGGATCAGGGTTCCTTTCATTTTGGGGAGCAAGGAGCTCTAGCCTGCCTCTCCAGAAAATGCAAGGAAGTACATAATCTCAACATTTTGCACATCTCTTTGGGGGGGGGGGGTTCAAAGACCACCTAACAGCTCCCTTAAAAACTCGACCTCAATCTACCTACCACAGGTACCATGTTCATCAGTGTCACTATGATATAGAGAAACGATTGGCCAAGAGGTTAGGATTATTTCATGGGAAGAAGAGAAGGGGAGGGTTTGCAATACAACCATCAGGAGAGGGCAGGGTGCTAGCTGCTGAGGACAGTGGCCACACGATCAATGGCCACACGATCTTTGTCTCACCTGCGTGAGAGAGGATTTTGAGCCAGAATGACCAACCACCTATTGGTCAGGAAGCTTTGACCCAGATGCTTGCAAACCCTGCCTCTCTGAAAGTCTTTAAATTAAGACTGGTCATTTGTTCAGAATGGCTGGACCAGAGGTACCACCCAAGGCCAGGCTCGACCAGGCACCTGCCTCTTCACCTTTCTTGCCATCAGTATTTCTCCTTTTCCTTTCCTTCCTTCATTTGCCACTACCCTTCTTCTCTCCCCTTTCCTGATAATCCTCTCAACTTTGTTTCTCTTTCTTTCTCTCCTCTAGCTCTGTCTCACTCTAGCAAATGGCATTACTGGATTCTAAATAGGGCATGGAGCGCGGAGCGCTTCTAACCCTTGGGTTAGATCCTGACAAGCCTGGAAGCAGCAAGGTGGATGAGAGAATCTCAGAAGATGCTCTCTACCAAGAGTCTAGCTCCCAAACCCCAGAAACCCGGGAACTTGAAGATAATCTATCACATCATTTTAAACCAACACGAGGGTTAGGAATGCCATTTTGGAGAATGGTCTGATGAGTTATTGAAAGCTGGTGTCCTTTGATATTGCTGAAGCCATAAAGCATGGTGAGGTGTCTGGACCCACCATTTCCTCCTATAGGCATCTCCTTACCTTGTAGGAGGGGGTCTCTGTGCCCGGGTTCTCAGCCTGAACAACAATGTAAGCATGTAAGAAATTGGAGGCAATCATATCTGGGACAAACGGTGTGTTCTCTTCTTGGAAGATGATGGCCACAATGTCATTCCCAATATGTCTCTTTCTCTGGAGCTAAATGAAAGGTGTTCAGTTGTTATAAGTCAGATAAAAGCATCCTCAAAACAGAATAGATCTGTACAAGGAATTCCTCACTATTTATCTTTATATATCAACCCTGGGACTCTGAGACCTAGCTCTCCAGGGGAGCTCTTCTTTCAATCTTTAGAAGCTACAAAAAAAAAAAGAGAGAGAGAGAGAGAGAAAGAGAGCGGGAAGACGCCCAAGTTGCTTGTAGAGGCTGGCAGGCATTTTACTGAGCTCTACAGTGTGCAGAGCCCTGATTCAGGACTTGGGAAGAATATTTAAAAAGTGAGGCCAGCTCTTGCTTGGTAGAGCCTCTAAGTGATCCAGGAGAGACACAAACATAGGTGAAGCTGCCTGAGAACACTAACAAAGCCACCAGCCAATAAGTGCTAAGTCAGCTGCTGCATATGCAGTGCCTAAAGCTATGGGGGCAGAGAGGAGGACGATTTCAGATGGTAACCCAAGAAGGCTTCCTGGAATAGGTAACTGGGCAGAGGTAGGGTCTTGATGGAAATGTGGAATTAATAGAGATGAGGGGACGAACCATTCTACCAGAGGGAAGAGAGCCAAGTTTAGAGAAGATGGGCAATCTGGCTTTGTGGAAGTCCTGGCAAAGAGAGAAATCCCATCCCAATCCAGTATCCTAAGCTGCTCGAAGGGCTTCCACCAGTGACCCCAACCACCAAGCACCTACAGTGTGTCTGTCAGGAGTCACCTGATCTGTCCAGGCTCTTCACACATATGATTTCAAACGATAAGCCCCTCTTGTATACCACGTTCTAGCTAGTGCTTATCTACATATATGTTCCTTTATTAATCACCTACTGTATGCAGGCACTACGCTAGGCCCTTTCACAATGAGTTTCTCATTAACCAAGCACCTGCTATAAACAAGCACCGTGCTGGGCACTTTTATACAAATTATCTTCTTTATTCCACACACATCATCTCATTTCTTGGGAAGAGAAAATGGATATCTACTCAGTCCTGGCCAAGAGCTTCCTATTTGACATACATGAGGTATGAGATTGAAAGACCCTTAGCCTCAGGCTGGGGCAGAGGGTACAGGGAGTCGTGAGGTAACAAAGATCAAAGGTGAAACGCTGAGAGAAAACCTCCTTCGGATCCTAAAGGAATCCTGCTCCCATTTGTTTCTGGAACATTCCGTTGTTACTTTAGAGCCAAATCACAGTCTCGTTTGCCAATTTCCTTTTTTCCTAAGAAGCCAGGCACTATGTTTACAATTTGACATCTGTGCTCCCTCCCCGGTTCTCTGCTCAGAAACAAATGGGTCAGAGTTTGGGCAAAGGGCTACTTGTCTTTCTAATTTTCCTAGAGACTAAGAAAGAGTGGCAATAGAGTGGGGAGGGGCAAATGGTGTTGCAACAGCCGGAAACCAGCTGCAGGTTTCAGGGCTCAGAGAGAGAACAGCCCAGCCCTCCTGGGACACATGGCTGTCAGAGGAACCAGTGTGAGAGAGAGAAAGAAAACAATGGAAGTGGACACCTCATTCAGGTTCCCTGGTTAAGGTGGAGGCTAGATTCCTGCCCATGGGCAGAGATGGTAAGAATGAGGCTGTGGAAAGCTTGGGCGGTGGGGGGCAGGTGGTCTCATGCAATAACCAGCTTTGCATCTCCATGGCTGAAAAGGAGGAAAAAAGGCTAGAGCATGGATAGTGAACAGCTGTACGCAGGAAGCCTACCACAAGCAGTCACCATGCTGAACCCTGTGTTCAGAGCCTTATGCAATCCCCATGACAACCCTCTGAAGTAAATCGTATCATCCCTATTTCACAGACAGGGAAAATGAGGCCATAAGGTTAAGCGACTTGCCCAGAGTCACATAAATGGCAAAGCTGGTTTTCAAGCCTCCAGGCACTCCTAACTCCAGGCTATAGAATCAGGACACCTGAATTCTGATTCCAGCTCTGCCCTCTCATCAACTGTGAAACCTCAAGAAAGTCTCTTAACCACCCTGAGCTGCAGTCTCATTGGCCAAGGTGGAACGACAGGAACCCGGTCCTGCCTCCCACCCAGGGATGCTGCCGTGAGGACTTGGAAGGACAACATAATAAGTGGAACAGGTTTTGAAGACACTGAAAATGGATTATGAAAATGGGGAGGAGACCCAAATCCCTCAGGCAAGTCAGGTGGGAAGCCCGCCTTCACCTCGCATGCCCCAGAGCTCCCAAAGCCCTCCCAGACCAGGTTACCTGCTGGGTGTCACCTTCAGTAAAGGGCAGCTTTGTGGAGACGTGAAACATGATCTCTCTGTCCCGGAATACCGTGTACACTGATTCCACCCCTGTCTGTCCATGCGTCACATCCAGGCCTCCTCGGAAACTGTCAATAGAACAGGGTAGGATTCGGAGATAAAGAGAGTGATGGGAAATGGGCGAAACAGTGCAAGCTTCCCACAGTACATGAGGCGGGAGCATGAACCAGAAGACAGGCGAGAGCCGAGGGCACAGGGAATGAGGATCAGGGTGGGGAGAGCAGGTAGATTTGCACCTCAGAACAGACTTGTATGATTCTGACCATAAATCTATCATTTAAAAGACAACAGCAGCCACTTCACACCCACTAGGATAGCTATATTAAAAAAGACGAAAAGAGTTGGCAAGGATGTTGAGAAATTTGAACCCTCCTACACTGCTGGCGGGAATGTAAAATGGTGCAGCCTCTGTGGAAAACAATTTGGCAGTTCCTCGGAAAGTTAAACATAGAATTACCATATGACCCACAATTACACTGCTAGGTATAAACCAAAAGACTTGAAAACAGGGACTCACACAAATGCATATATACTTACTTCTCACTTATCAACATGGTTAGGTTCCAAAGACCAGGTCATTATGTGAAAAAACAGCAATACAGGAAAATGGAGAATGACCACATCAGATCACAAAATGGAGGGTGACTACATCATTACATAACTGCCAAATTACATAATGACATAACTGCCAGGTTTCATAACTGCCTAACCACTGAAAATCATTGCCCAGGCAAGTTGACTCATAACCTTAACCATCACAGTCAGTGTCATTCTCACCTTGCACCTTGGCACACTTTTAATGCACAATATAGCCAGATGGTAGGTTTTTCACTCTAGTTGTAAATGAGAAATGTCAGATAATGAGATCATCAGTAAGTGAGGAATAGATGTGCATGCTTGTTCATTGCAGCACTATTCACAACAGTCAAAAGAAATAGAAATAGCCCAAATGTCCATCAGTGGATGAATGGATAAATAAAATGTGGGAGCTCTGGTGGCGTAGTGCCTAAGGCATTTGACTGCTAACCAGAAGGTGGGCAGTTCAAACCCACCAGCCACTCTTCAGAAGGAAGACTGGGCAATCCACTTCCGTAGAGATACCGCCTCAGAAACCCAAGGAGGGGTTGCTATGAGTCAGAACCAACTTGACAGCAGTGAGTTTGGGTTTTTTTTTTTTTTTTTTTTCATACAATGGAATATTCCTCAGCCATACAAATGAATCAAGTACTAACACATGTTACAATGTGGTTGAACCTCAAAAATATTGTGGTAAGTGAAAGAAGTCAGACACAAAAGGTCACGTATTATATGATTCCATTCACATGAAATATCCAGAATAGGTAAACCCATAGAGACAGAAAGTGCTTTGATGGTTGCCAGGGACTAGGGGAAAGGGAATTAGGGAATGACTAATGAATGGACATAGGGTTTTCTTTTGGAGTTATGACAAGCTCTTGGAACTAGATAGTGGTGATGGCTGTACAGTGAATACCACTGAATTGTACAATTTACAATGGTTAATTTTATGTTATGTGAATTTCATCTCAATTTAAAAAAAAAAAAAAGAAAAGACAAAGGTAGAACCTTCACTTCAAGCCTTGGCTGTGTCCCCTCCACATAAGACAGTCATGTGGGAAAGGAGGCTCTCCAGCCACCACCCCAGGCATATGCCCATCCCAGGTAGTAGCGGACCCTAAGGCTGGGAGCAGGCAGAGGCCTTTGCTCTCTGCAAGACCATGTCTAAGTCCTCAGCCCAGAGCCAGGGCAACCAGGTAGGATAGTGGTAGGCACCACAGGAACATCTGAATCCAGTAACATGAGGTGGCAGATACTTGACTTCTATCCAGCTAGTCCCCAATATGGAGGAGCTCTCGTGACGCTGTGGTTAAGGCATTGGGCTGCTAACCAAAAGGTCGGTGGTTTGAACTCACCAGCTACTCCATGGGAGGAAGATGAGGCAATCTACTTCTGTAAAGATTTATAGCCTTGGAAACACGATGGGGGTTGCTGTGAGTTGGAATCAACTCAATGTCAGTGGATTTTTTTTTTTTTTCAGTATGGAGGCCAACCATGGTAGCACCCAGCTGGAAGGCATCCAGGGAGGCCCTTCTCTGGCTCTCTCCTCACAGGCAGGAAAGAAAAAGCACTAAGGAACTGGGTGGGCTTTCCAGGCTACCCCTTCTGCCTTTATGGGACCACAGCTGCCACCTTTCAATCCTGTTCTTCAGGAGGAGGAGGAAGGTGCAGAGTCCTTCAAGACAATGAAATGAAATGGACTCAGATGTCAGTCCCACCAGCACTGCTGGGGGTCAGCACTCCAGGTTCCAGTCAGGCATTTACGCCACTAAGTTAGCACATGACCCTGAGGATCTCACTTAATCTTTCTGAGGCCTCAGTTTCCCGTAAAATCAAATGGGATTACATGACCTCTGGAGTCCTTCCTGGTTTTCACATACAGCACTTCATCTATCCTAACACCCACATTGCTTCACATTTTAACATCTCAGTTGCCTTAGAATTGATTCTGACTCAGAGACCCCATGTGTGTCCGAGTAGAACTGTGCTCCGTGGGATTTTCAATGGCTGAGTTTTCAGACATTGGTTGCCAGGCCTTTCTGCTGAGGCACCTCAGGTGGACTCAAACTTCCAATCTTTTGGTTAGCAGCCATGTGCATTAACCATCTATACCATCCATGGACTCCAATGGCATCGTAAAGTCAATGAAAGATGGTGTAACAAGAACAAGAGTAGTAACGACTACCAGTGTTCACTCTGTATGTGGCATGAGTTTACATGCTTCCCATGTATTATCTCATTTAATCCCTATGAGCCTCATGGAGTTGGTACTGTATTTATCTCCTTTTGTTTTTTTACAGATGAAGCAACTGAGGCTTGCAAAGGTTAAGCCACTTGTCCAAAGTCACAGAGCTAATAATGGTGAGGCTGGGACTATAATCTATTTGTGATTGACTCGAGACAGTAGTGATAAATCTAGATGGGGGAAGAAGTGAGAGGGGAGAAAGGACAAAGGAAAAGCAACAAGAGGAGGGAAGGAAGCAGTTATTGAGGACCTACTATATGCCAGGCACTAGGCGAGGTGCTGTCACACATGATGTTAAGAGATCTTGTTAATCAAGCTGCTGGAGCCAGGAACCCTGGGCGATTTCAGCCATGAACCAGCCACCAAGCACAGACCAGCCTGGTCAGGTCTGAAGGCCCTTCCCAAATCTTGCCTTTGCCAAGGAAAATCAAGGACCAGAATTTTTGCAGGCAATGGCCTCAATAGCCATTTTTATGTCCATTTAGAGAACCATAGAAAGGATTACTATATTCATATTCGAAATTATCCATTCTTTGTATATTATCTAAAAAGGGTCATTTCACCCCAAAACTGCACCAGAGCCTCTTCCCCTAATGCCTGGCAGGTTGGAGCTAAGAGAAAAGGATCCATTTTACTCTCAGTCTGAGCTAAATGGATTTAGAAAGGCCAATCTGTGGTGAAGCAAGTTCATCATGCAGCCTAAGGCCACATGTCAATGCCTTTCATATAATCTGTCATTCTGGAGTATCCCTGCAACACCTTTTCCTTAGCAATGCCGGTGAGTGAGTGCTCATCACATGCTGAAAAACCAATCGCGCTCTTTGTGTGTGTTCTTTACTCTCACACACTATATCCCTGAGACTGAGCTGCATGCCCCTCACCCCTCCAATAGGGCCTCATCAGTGGAGCCAGAGCAATTCTTGGCTGCAACCCACCCTTTGAAGTCCTGTAGCGTGATTGTGTCTCCCAGAAGGTCCAAGAACTCCTTGAAAGCCGGACTTTCCTCATTGTTCCCAAACAGCTCCTCCTCCAGAGTCTCAAAAAGAAAAACAGGAACAGGGGCAGGAGTTAGAAAAAGACTTCCTGGTGCCAAGGGAAGAATGTGGTTCTCCAGATACCTCATCCTTTCTCCCCATCTCCCAACACATTGTCACCCAGTAGCTCTGCCCTGCATTGAGGATCACTCTATAGAACTGGATCTTTGGGGATGGTTAATGAGGTCTTTCTATTTTAGCAAAGACTGATGGTCAATACAAAAGGCAAAGCTAAAACAATAAGTTCTTTGACTTGATACCAAAATCTAATTGGACCTCCAAAAAAGGACTGTTGTTGTCGTTGTGTGCTATCAAGTTGGAGCCGACTCATAGCGACCCCTCCTTGGGTTTCCAAGGTGGTATCTCTATGGAAATAGATTGCCAAACCTTCCTTCCGAGGAGTGGCTGGTGGTTCGGCTGGTGGGTTTGAACCACCAGCCTTCTGGTTAGCAGTCAAGTGCTTTAGGCACTACGCTACCAGAGCTCCTAAAAAAGGACTAGTATCTAGAAATATATAAAGAATGCTCACAGCTCAATAGTAATAAAAATTTAAAAAGACAAAGACATTATACCCACTAGATGTGTACTGTGATAGTTAAGTTGTGTGTCAGCTTGGCTGGGCCATGATTCTCAGTGGTTTACAGTTACAATGTAGTCATCACCCATGATTGTATCTAACATAATGTAATCACCTCCATGGTGAGACCTGCTATGAGAGCTAATCAGTTGAAAGGGAGTTTCCTCAGGGGTGTGGCCTGCTTCCAATATATATAGACATCCTGGCAAAGCTCCCTAGCTTTTTGCTCTGTCTGGATCCTGCATCTGGCTTGTCATGATCTGACCTCTGGTTCTTTGGACTTGAGCCAGAGGCTTGCTATACTGCCTGATGAACTTAAGGTTCCTTAGCCCATGAAGCCTGTGAGCCAGCAACCAGCCATCTTACCTGCCTATCCTGGAATCATCAGCCTGCACAGCCCTGAGCCAGCAGCTTGCCATCTGACCTGCCAGTCTTGGATTCATCAGCCCCTGCAGCTACATGAGTCAGGAGAAGCCTCCAGCCTCATGTCTGACCCATGGACTTGGGACTTGTCAGCCTTTATAATCTTGTGAGCCATTTCTTTGGGATAAATCTCTCTCTCTCTCTCATATATATATAGATATAGATATATAGAGATACCAACGATATCTATACATATCACTGGTTTTGCTTCTCTAGAGAACCCAGCATAAGACAGCTACATTCAAAAACAAAGATAATAACAAGTGTCAGCAAAGACGTGGAGAAATTGGAATGCTGTTGGTGAAAATATAAAATGGTGCAGCTGCTTTGGAAAACAGTCTGGCAGTTCTATAAAAGGCTAAGCATAGAGTTACCATATGACCCAGCAATTCCACTCCTGGGTATATACTCAAGAGAAATGAAAACATAAGTCAGCATAAAACTTGTACAGGAACATATGTAGAAGCATTATTCATAATGGCCAAAAGGTAGAAACAACCCAAATGTCCAAGTAGTGAAAGGAAAAATAAAATGTGGCACATCCATATGATGGGATAGTATTTGACAATAAAAAGAAATGAAGAACTGATACACACCACAATATAGATGAACCTTGAAAATAGTATGCTAAGTAAAAGAAGCCAGTCACAAAAGGCTACATATTATATGATTTCATTTATACCCATATCCCAGAACAGGCAGGTCTATCGAGACAGAAAGTAGGTTTGTGGTTGGCTAGGACATGATAGAGGGCAGGGGTAAGGCTGGAAGGAACCAAAGAGGAACTGATAATGGGTATAGGATTTCTTTTGGGGGGGGGGGGATAAAAATATTCTAAAATTTATTGAGGTGAAGATTGTATAACTCTGTGAAGATACTAAAAGCCATCAAATGGTATTCTTTAAATGGGTAAATTATATGGTATATAAATTATGTCTCAATAATGCTGTTATAAAATAATAAAACACCCGACAGTTAAAAATAAAACAACTAGAACATGGTCAAAAGATATGAACCAAGATATTTCACCAAGAAAATCTACAAATGACAACACACAAAAAGATGTTCAACATCATCAGCCATCAGAGAAATGCAAACTAAAACCATAGTAAGATATCACTACACATTCAGCAGAATGACTAAAATTTAAATATATATATAGTGACAACGCCAAATGCAAGTGAGGGTGTGGAGAAACTGAATCACTCATACATTGTTGAGGGGACTGTAAAATGCTGCAGCCATTCTGGAAAATAGTTTGGCAGTTGGTTCTAAAACTGTATTTATGATATGAACCAGTACTCCTGGGTGTTTATCCCAGAGAAATGAAAATTTACATTCTCACAAAAACCTATACATGAATATTTATAGAAGCTTTATTCACAATAGCCAAACACTGGGAATAACCCAGATATCCTTCCACAGGTGACCGGCTAAGCAAACTGTGCTAGCAGTAAAAAAGAGCCATGGCTACATACAACAACTTGGACCCATCTCCTGGAAATTATACTGAGTGAAGGGGGAAAAAAAAGCCAATCCCAAAGGGCTATATCCTAGGATTCCATTTCTGTAACATTTTGAGACAGGAGAACAGGTCAGTGGTTGTTGGAGGTTAGGGGCCATGGAGGGATGGGAAGGTATGAAGGCAGGAGGGAGTGGGGCATGGTTATAAAAGGTGAATCCAGGGATCCTGTGGTAATGGAATTATTCTGTATCTGTATCGAGTTGGATCCAACTCAACAGCAGTGCATTTGGATTTTTTGGAATCCATGCTTTATTAACAAAAGAGTACAGAGTACAGGTTCTAAGCCTTAGACAAACCCACTGCCATCGAGTTGATTCTGAGTCATAGCAACCCCCACTGGGTTTCCAAGGTGGTGAATCTTTATGGAAGTAGATTTCCTCATCTTCCTTCTAAGCAGCAGCCGGTGAGTTTGAACCACTAACCTTCTGGTTAGCAGTCAAACGCCTTAGGCACTATACCACTAGAGCTTCTATAAGCCTTGGACAGACAACAGAATCTAGTTAGATTGCAATAACTTCATTGTGTTTTATAGTATTTCTTTTTAGAATTTCCTTCATTTCATGGCACATGATATTTGTTTTTTAGTACAATAGCCAAAAAATACCCAAATCCCCTGCCGTTGAGTCAATTCCAACTCATAGTGACCCTGTAGGACAGAACAGGACTGCCCCCCACAGGGTTACCAAGACTAAATATTTACAGAAGCAGACTGCCACATTTTTCTCCCATGGAGTGGCTAGTGGGTTTAAACTGCCAATCTTTCAGTTAGCAGTCGAGTACTTTAACCACTGCACCGCCAGGGCTCCTCTCATTATAGTTGTTGTTGTTGTTGTTATGTGCCTTCGAGTCGGCCCCGACTCATAGCGACCCCTCCTTGGGTTTCCGAGGCAGTATCACTATGGAAGTAGGATTGCCCAACCTTCCTTCCGAGGAGTGGCTGGTGGGTTTGAACCGCCAGCCTTCTGGTTAGCAGTCAAGTGCTTTAGCCACTATGCTACCAGAGCTCCTCTCATTATAGTAGTGATATAAAATTTCCTTTTACAATAACTGCATTTTCTTTTTTTTTTTTTCAAGTATCTATCTTTTTAAAGAAAAATATCAAGTAGTTAATAGGATGAGGACGCTAGTGGCTCAATGACAGAATTCTCTCCTCCCATGCAGGAGACATAGGTTTGACTACTGGCCAACGTACCTCATTCACAGCCACAACTCAGATCTGTCACTGAGCCTTGTGTTTTACTATGATCCTGAACAGGTTTCAGCGCAGCTTCCAGACTAATACAGACCAAGAATAAAGGCCTGGTGATCTACTTCCAAACTCAACCAACAACAATCTTATGGATACAATGGTCTGGTTTGCAACCAATCACAGGGATGACGTAGGATGGGGCAGCATTTTGTTCCATTGTGCATGGGGTCACCAGGAGTCAGAGGCCAATTCAACTGCAGCTAACAACAGTTAACAGGGTAAGCGGCATGCAGGTGTGATAAAAATCATTACAATGGCATTTGGTGGAATAAATTATGCAATTTGTGAATGTCTGAAGTCTTGGTAACACTGCTTTGTAGTAAAAGTAAGCAAACCATAGCCTATGAGCCAAGCCTGGCCCAGTACTTGTTTTTATAAATAAAGTTTTACTGGAACACTGGCATATCCATTCACTTTCATATTAGCTATAGCTTCTTTTGTACTACAAAGGTAGAGTTGAGTGGTTGCCAACAAACCCTGTATAACCTGCAAGATCTAAAATATTTACTATCTGTCCCCTTACAGAAAAGCTTGCTGGCCTCTGATCTATAGCATGCCAGGAATGGCATCACAACTCTAGCCAAGCACCCTGTTTGTTCCTGATCAGAATGCCAGCCTGCGGGAGACAGTAGCTCCCAGGTAATCTGTGTCTCCTACTGAGAAAACAATTTAAAGTGTGTGCCTCTCACCCTGCCCGATATTAGCAGTGTCATTATTTTTATACTGGCCTTGAACTTGACTACACACTCACAGAGGGGGTCTTAGTTACCACTGTATCTCCCTCAAGGAGCTCTGGTGGCACAGTGCCTAAGGCATTTGACTGCTAACCAGAAGGTTGGGGATTCAAACCCACCAGCCACTCCAGAGAAGGAGGACTGGGCAATCTACTTCTGCAAAGATTTACCGCGTCGGAAACCCAATGGGGGTTGCTATGAGTAGGAATTGACTCAATGGCAGTGGGTTTGGTCTGGTTTTGGGTATCTCCCTCAGTCCCTAGCACAGTGCCTGACAAATGAAAGGATTAGGTGAGGCATAGTTATATCCCAGAACCAGCACAGGGCTTATATGGAACAAATGTTCATATTAAATGGCCCCCAGCTGGAGGTTACAAAAAACACTCTGCCTTGTTTTTTTAAAAACTTTTCCCCCAAGTAGCATCAGATACATAAACAGCACACAGACTCCATCCCAGGGGTGGATGGCTAATGTTTAATAACTATAATTTTGCAGGAACAGTAGTTTATAATCACCTTATGAGATGTACTAGAGCCCTGGTGGTGCAGTGGTTAAGTGCTTGAATGCGAAGCAAAAGGCTAGCAGTTTAAGTCTACCAGCCACTCCATGGGAGAAAGATGTGTTATTGTTGTTGTTAGGTGCCATTAAGTCAGCTCCAACTCACGGCGACCCCGTGTACAACAGAACAAAACACTGCCTGGTCCCGCACCATCCCCACAATCCTTGCTACACCCGAGCCCATTGTTGTGCCCACTGTCCATGTTGTTCATCTTGTTGAGGGTCCTCCTCTTTATTGCTGACCCTTCACTTTACCCAGCATGATAGCCTCCTCCAGAAAATGGTCCTTTCTGACAACATGACCAAAGTAGGTAAGATGAAGTCTGGCCATTCTCACTTCCAAGGAGCATTCCAGCTGCACTTCCTGCAGGACAGATTTGTTCTTTCTTCCGACAGTCCATGGTACTTTCAGTATTCTTTGCCAACAGGAGGAAGATGTGGCAGTCTGCTTCTGTAAAGATTTATAGCCTTGGAAATCCTATGGGGCGCTTCTACTCTGTCTATAAGATTGCTATAGGAATTGACTTGATGGCAGTGGATTTGGTTTTTAGTTTGGGTAATTTTCACAAGTGTTGTTGTTAAGTGCTGTCAAGTCGGGTATCATCTCTACCAAACATGATATCCTTCTCCAGGGACTGTTTCCTTCTGACAATACGACAAAAGTATGACAGATGAAGTCTGGCCACTCTCACTTCTAAAGAATATTCTGGCTGTACTTCCTTTAAGGCAGATTTATTCGTTCTTCTAGCAGTCCGCAGTACATTCAATATTCTTCACCAACATCACAATTCAAATGCATCAATTCTTCTGCAGTCTTCCTTATTCATTGTCCAGCTCTCACATGGATATGAGGCTATTGAAAATACCATGGCTTAGGCCAGGTACATTTTACTCTTCAAAGTGACCATCTTTGCTCTTTAACACTTTAAAGAGGATTTTTGCAGCAGATCTGCCCAGTGCAATACATCATCTGACTTCTTGACTGCTGCTTCCACAAGTGTTGATTGTGTGGTATCATGATGTTGCTTACTGGTCCAAAATTCACAAGCAAAGACCTTTAATCAGAGAGTTATATTAGCAGAGCTTACAAAATAAAAATGCAATATGTGAAAATAATTAGAGTGGCTCCCTGAATAATCTCCCTTAAATTATAAAATTCTTCTGTGCTGGTCTCTCAGATCCTAAACCTTTCACCTAATTAGAATGTTTTTAAGTAAACACATGCTACTTGTGTTCTGGTATCTTCAGACAAGAAAATTTGTTCTTATCTAGCCAAGAAAGACATCATCATACAAAAAAAAAAAAACCTCCAAATTATATGGGATGATATTCTCAACCTATCACGGTAGGGCCAAAATTTTCATTCATTTATTAATCCACATAATGATTACAAAGATGAAATAGTTCTGGGACCTTCTTCTATAAAACCTAAGTGATATAACATCACTATTCTCAAGACGTTAATAAATGCTCATGATAGGACAGTGGCAGTGAAGATGGAAAAGTGTTGTGGTCAAAAAATCATGGAGGATGCTGAGTTCTTTACCTTGGAGGTTCTTGTTGTTGGTAGGTGCCATCAAGTCGATTTAAAGTCACAGCAACCCCATATACCACAGAAAAAACACTGCATGATCCTGCACCATTCTCACAATCGTTGCTATGCTGGAGGTCATTGTTGCAGTCACTGTGTCAATCCATCTCTTTGAGGGCCTTCCCCTTTTTCACTGACCCTCCACTTAACCAAGCATGATATCCTTCTCCAGGGACTAGTCCCTCCTGATGACATGACCAAAATAGGACAGGCAAAGTCTGGCCATTCTCACTTCCAAGGCAGCTGCATTTCTTCCAAGACAGATTTGTTCACTCTTCTGGCAGTTCATGGTATATTCAATATTCTTCACCAACACCACAATTCAAATGCATCAACTCTTGTGAGGTCTTCCTTATTCATTGTCCAGCTTTCACACACATATGAGGCTGCTGAAAAGACAATGGCTTGGGTCAGGAGCACCCTCGGGTCAGGAGATGCCTTCAAAGTGACATCTTTGCTTTTGCAGTAGATTTTGCCCAAACAATACTTTGATTTCTTGACCACTGCTTGGCATTAATGGGCATTAATTATGAAACCAATAAAATGAAATCCTTGACAATGGCAATCTTGTCTCCATTTATCATCTTGCTTATCAGTCAGTTGTGATGATTTTTGTTTTCTTTATGTTGTGGTGTAATCCATTCTGAAGGCTGTAGTTTTTGATCTTCATCAGTACAAGTCTTCCTCACTTTTAACAAGCACCTGTGTTTTATTGACTATGCAAAGGCATTCGATTGTGTGGGTCATAACAAATTACAAGTAACACAGCAAAGAATGAGAATTCCAGAGCACTTAATTGTACTTATGCAGAACTTGTACATAAGCCAAGAGACAGTCATTCGAACACAAGAAGATACTGCATGGTTTAAAATCAGGAAAGGTGTGCATCAGGGCTGTATTCTTTCACCATACTTATTCAATGTGTATGCTGAGTACATTTGCTGGACTATATGAAGAAGAATGAGGCATCAGGATTGGAGGAAGATTCATTAACAACCTGTGATGTACAGATGGCACAAGCTTGCTTGCTGAAAGTAGGGGTTCTTAGGGTCTATAAAATGTTTCCACATGGGAAAACAGTGTGGTGGTTCCTCAAAAAGTTAAAAAGAATTGTCATATGACCCAATAATTCCATTCCTAAGCACATACCCAAAAGCAGGAACTCAAACAGAAACTTATGCACATGTGTCCACTATTCACAATAGCCAAAAAGTAGAAACAACTCAGTGTTTGTCAACAGACGAATGGATATGCAAAATGTGACACGTATATACAATGGAATATTATTTAGCCATAAAGAGAAATGAAGTTCTGATACATGCTACCACCTGGATGAACACTGAAAACCTTATGCTGACTGAAAAAAGTCCAACATAATATATATATATATATATATATAT